ACAAACTTCTGTGCATCTGTCGTCTCCCCCTCATCTCACCAGTTCCAGCAGAGGCCTGCCCCTCTCCACGGAGGCCGGCACCGCCACCTGTGCCGGGCACCCACCCACACTCCTTGACCTCCTTGGAACCTCTGCGAGTGACATGTCTTCCCGGTTTCCTCTCCCTCTTGCTTTCTCCTATATCCCTTCTTAGTGCAGACTAAATAATTTAAAAGAGGCCTATATTTTTAGGCTTTATCACCTAAAAAATCAAGAGAACTAAAAACTGAAATATTTACAGGAGAAACATTGGGAATTGCCTACTATCTGCTCAATATCTCAACTGATGTTAAAATGCCCCAATTGCTTATCTTGAACAATGTACCGTATTTTTACTACTATCTTTGCTACCAAAATATTTTAAGTTTCAAATAACAGTAACTTGTAGAGGTTGGCCTTTCAGTGTTTCTTATAATCATCAACAATAAGCATTTATTCTTTCTGGAGAATTAGACCATTTGTTTATCTGTTGAAGTACATTTCCCTTTAAAGGCTTTGTAGTGAAAAGAGAAGATGTAAAATATAAGATTAAAGAATGATATAATGGGATTGCCAAAAAAATCTCTATAGTTCAGGAAATCCTCGCATGCCTGGTTTGTTGTTTGTTTCCAACTTGAATGAGGTTTGTGAAAAGACAATTGGAATTGTCTCTTTGTTCCAATGGGTTATACAGGAAAGAAACAGGAAATCTTGATGAAAGCTTGGGCTTTACAGGATATTTGTGTGTGTTTATCCCATGTGTTTGATGTTTTTCTCTCTGCATCTGCTCACTTTATGCCTGGATTGGGGCTAAAATATTTTAAAATACCATTTTGCTTTTTCATCTCATTTCATTACAGTTCCTGGCATGATGCTTTCTATATGGCAGGGGCTCAAAAATTAAAACTGAATAAGGAAACTGAGGCCCAGAATGTCACAAGTCATTCCTTTCCTCTGGATGTCAATTCCCTCATTATAAATTGTGAGAACTAGATGGTTTAAGGGCTACTAAAACTTTTCCACCAAAGTATCCCTCACAGCAGAGAAAATGAATAGTAGCCCTCTGGGGGATCTGAGGGCATTGCCTAAAGCAGCCTCTGCAAGATGGAAGTTTCTCTGAAATGTCCTACTTTATCTTAAAAATTCATGAGAACTTTGCATTTTACAAAACAGGAAAGGCTATGTTTGTTTTAATATGACTGTTACCTCAACAAAGTTACTTTGCTTTCCCACAAAATAATCAAGTGAATCCAGCATTCCAGGAAATATGTACGCAGCTTCATCCACCCTGGCAGTTGCTCACCACCCCAGGGATCACCTACCCGAGTGTGACAAACAAGGGCCTGGGTGATCAGCATCTAATTCCCCTTCCAGTGGGGAATGCTCCAGCCATAACACTTAAGATTTTACATTTTATAGAAAAGTTGTCACACTTGCACTTGAATGGCAACTGAGATGATAGGCAGAAGCCCTGAAACGAAGAAATCCAGCCAGACAGGTTTGTAAGTAAATAAGCCAGTGGTGGAGTCAGAGATGCCCACATCTGCCCGGAGACGCACAGAGGGGCTGAGGGTCTCATCGGGCAAAGGTGCGGAAAGTTGGAGGATGTGTGTCTACCTCCATTCTCCCACCATTCCAGGCATTTCTTTCTTTCCGCCTTGATGCCCTCACCCCTTACGCCCCTTACACCCCCCAACCTGTAACTCATACTTTTGCAGATGATTTTCTAAATTGATGAATGGGATTATATATTCAACCCCAATACATTTAATCTTAAGGTCAGCTGTTTAAAGCTTCAGAGAACTGATTTTTGTGTCCTACTTATTAACTACTCTGAACTCTGTATCAGCGGGAAACTTTACTTCTCCGTCATCACCCAGTGACTGACACACTTAGAAATCTCACTTCAGCTACTAGTTATTCAGAGATGGCCCTTAGAAATGCTGCTTAACCACATAAATGTGTTTCTAAACCATACTTTCCCATAGTGCCTTCATGAAGGGTCTTTCAGACAGCTGGGTGAAGTCCAGATATGTACTACATTTACTCTTCACTTACCTACCAGCCTGGCCCCCTGTTCAAAGAAGGAAATGAGCTTAGCATAATGGACTTCATTTTAAGTGAACTTGTTCTGGCTTGTGGGACCACTATTATACATCTATCATTTCTCATGATTAACTTTCACAATAAAAATTTTAACAATGGAGTGGTCAGGGGGAATGCTGTTCCAGTTAATAGAATTTTCTGAGGAAAAAAGGTTTTAAAAAGTCAGTGTATCATCACATGATAAATATTCTAAAATCTAGTAGTTCATATTCCTGCCTTTGTCTTCCCTTAGCGAATTACTGTCTGGGATTTTCTTCCTCAACACTGATTTTAATGAACTGGCCTACAGATATAGGAAGAATAAATTGGGTAAAATCTGCACCAACCTGAGAGATCCTTCTGAGGATTTTTTTATTCTGGTTATACATTTGTACATTTGTGTCATTTACTCTTTTTCATGAAAATGAAATACATAAAAATTAATGCAATAGTGTATGGCCTATTAATAGGATCAACAGGATAAATACTTAATAAGGAAAACCAATTTTCCTTATTAAGTATATTTGACCAAGACTATGCTAGACAAGGCCATATGCTAGACTTCCTTTCCGTGGAACTCTTCTAATTGCTATCACTAAGGAAAATCAAATTCAGTAATTACAAGAAATTAATCAATTTTTGATGTAGTAGGTGGTTAATAACAGATTAAAAATAATGAAAAAAATTACTCAGATTTCCAGAATAAAATGGTTCAAATATTGACTTTAGGAAAAATTTTCTTAACTGTGTGATTAGGCTAATTAACATTTTTCCAGATTTTAAGAAACAAGACAAACACATTAGACAAATAAGTAAAAATAAGACAGATAGTAACTGCACTAGTGGGGGTGAGGATTTAATAATATGTATAACTGTTGAATCACTGTGTTGGACACTTGAAACCAAATTAAGATTGTACACCAATGATATACTTCAATAAAAAAATTTTTCAAATTTATTGATGATTATGTTTTAGTAATATTTTCACTGGGCAGAGATTGTGTGATTGAAAGAGATATTTAAAAGAGAGATAGACATGCATTAAAAAATTAAATGGCATCATCAAAATGAAAGACCACCTCAAGCTTTCCAAGAATTAGCAGAAATACATTTCTTAATAGACAAAAATAAACCAACCCTTTTAAAAATCATAAATAAGAGGCAGAAAAAAATCTAAAACCCCTATGCTTCCCTCTCCTACCCTAAACCTCCCCACCATCTCCTACAGTCAGGACCAACCTCTCTACACTCCCACTAAATCAGCCTTACTGTCATTTTTGTTCCTTAAACCCTCCCAGCTGGCTCTCACCTCAGGCTCTTGGACCTTGCTGTGCCCCCCCACCTGGAATACTACTTCTCCAGAGACCTCATACCCTCTGCGAGGGCTCTTCTGACTACCTGTCCATGCCAGTAGTCCCCTTCCCATCCTCCACCCAACAAGGTCTATGTACACACCTTATTTCTTCTTCATAAATCACTCTTTAAAATTATTTCATGTTTTATTTATTGGCTGGCTGCACCAGAATGTAAACTTCATGAGAAAAGGAGTCTTATCATTCCTGCTTCCCACCCTGCCTCATCCTGGTGAGTGTCTGGTACATAGAATATGCCACCCCCCACCCACCCCGCAGAACTATTTCTTCAATAAGTGAGTAAGTCAAACTAGTGCTCTGACAGGAACAGAACTCAGGAATCACAATAAATGTTTCAGTTGAACATTCATATTAACAAACTGTTAGAAGAGACTCCAGTGAAGAGTAAAAATTCTGTTTCTGGATTTTATTGAAACAAATATTATTTTAATGCAACATGGATGGACCTAGAGGGCATTATGCTAAATGAAATAAACCAGGCAGAGAAAGATAAATACCATATGACTTCACTTATTTGTGGAATCTAAAATTAAAACAAAACAAAACAAACAAAGCAGCAGTAGACTCAGAGACACCAAGAAGTGACTAGTAGTTATGGGGGCAAGGGGGGTTGGGATGGGTGGAAGAAGAGGGTGTGGGGGGTAAAGGGGCACAAAAACTCTCAATCATAACATAAGTTGGTCATAGGGATGGTAGTACAGCATGGAGAATATAGCCAATGGTTCTGTAACATCATCCTGTTTTGACAGATAGTAACTGTACTAGTGGGGGTGAGGATTTAATAATGTATGTAACTGTTGAATCACTGTGTTGTATACTTGAAACCAATATAAGATTGTACACCAATGATACTTCAAGAAAAAAATAAATATTTCATTTATTAGTGATTATATTTAATTATATTTTCATTGGGCAGAGATTATTTGATTCAAAGAGATATTTAAAAGAGAGATAGATAGGCATTAAAAAATTAAATGGCATCATCAGAATGAAAGACCAACCTGTTGCTCATATCGCTGTTTTACATCCTCTAGCTGCCATAAAAACTCCTTGGATTGTTTCTCACGAAGAGACTTGGACCTAGTTAGATCTGCTTCCACTTTTTCCATCTGTAAAATTTAGAAACCAAATATTAAATTGTTTAAACAAAAAATCATATTCCATGCTTTGATGATTTGTCTACTCACTAAAATGACAGATTTTTAAACACCTCACCAATCACAGTGGTGAATTTAAGGTTGACAAAATTATAAAAGACATGTCAATTTTTGATATACTTTAATAGTTTGTCAGGAAAATTAAAATTGGTATATAATTGACTAAATTCTGATGTTAACACATTTTAATGGAAATGTGACTTTAAACATTAAAATATTTATTCAGTATGATTTTATTAAGGCCTTGGTATGTGCTGAATGGCAGAAAATATTTGCAAATCATATATATGATAAGGGACTTGTATCAAGAGTATATAAAGTCATCTTACAACTCAATAATAAATGGGCAACTAAACCCAATTTTAAAATAGGCAAAGGAAATGAAGAGACATTTCCCAAAAAAGACATACAAATGGCCAATAAACATATGAAAAGATGATCAATATCATTGTCATTAGGTGATTTCAAATTAAGACAATAATGACGTATCACTTCACACCCATTAGGATGGCTATAATAAAAAAGGGCAGATAATAACAAATGTTGATTAAGATGTGGAGAAATCAGAACCTCATACACAGCTGGTGGGAATGCAAAATGGTATATCTACTTTAGAAGACAGTTCGGCAGTTATTCAAAAGGTTAAACATAGAGTTACCATGTGAATCAGGAATTCTACTCCTCAGTGAGAAATTTAAGCATACATCCACACAGGAACTTATATACAAATGTTCACGGCAGCATTATTCATAATAGCCAAAAAGAGGAAAACACCCAAATGTTTAACAATTGAAGAATCGATAAACAAAATGTGGTATGTCTATGCAAATGAATATTATTTGGCCATAAAAAGGAACGAAATACTGCCACCCATTACAACATGGATGAACTTTGAACACTATGCCCGGTGAAAGAAGGCACTCACAAAGACCATGTATCGTATGATTGCGCTTACGTGAAATGTCCAGAACAGGCAAATCCACAGAAACAGACAGTAGATTGTGGTTGCCTAGGGTGGGACATAGTTTGGGTGATTTGGTTTCTTTTGGGAGTAATGGAAGCCTAAATTGGTTGTAGTGATGGATGTACAGCTCTATGACTATATTAAAAACCATTAAATTATAAATCTACAATAAATGAATTGTTGGCATGTGAGTTATAGCTCAATAAAGCTGTTGTTATTTAAAAAATAATTAAAAGCCAGAGATTCTACCACATTCTATGAGGTCTCATGTGACCTAGTCCCAGTTATATCTCCCAGCTCATCACTGATCACCACCAGTCCACCTGCCTCCTCGCTGGGCCTAAAACATGCTCCGATGTCTCCTTTCCTCTCAGGTATTCTTTAATCACACCAATTAATATAAATATCTTCCTTCTCTCTATGTTCTGGGTCTTAATATCTCTATTTTCCTAGCAAATCATGTTTTTCTCCATAGGATGGAAGTGTTTCAAGTCCGTGTGCTTTATTTATCTATATCATGAGCTCTTGAATAAAAGGAATCATGACTTACATTTATTTTGTATCTTAATTTCTAACTAAATGGCATGATATGCAGAATAAATATGTTTTAAATGCTTAATGATGAATGGAAGGGTAAGAAAATCAAAAGCAACAGAAAAAAGAGAAGGTAAATCAAGGAGGGAAGATCTGGTTTACTTAGTACTTTTAAGACAAAGCTTCATATGAAATTCATTTTTGACTCTTATTTTACTTCAGCATAGAGTGAATATTAAAAACAAATAATAAATATTTAAATAGTTAGAATTTTAAACATTTTAAATAAAAATTACGAGCTATATGTACTCAGCTTGTAAAAAATAGAGTATCTTTCATCAAAAAAACAGCATTATCTTCTATAATCAAGACAGAACAATTTAAAGCACATGAAAAGAACTTCTGTACTAAACATTAAGAAAAATTAAAAGCAAATAATAGCCAACATAAGAAAATGACATATTTGTTTATACTGACCGAAAATGCAAGACCCCACTCCATTCTCCTTCCACAATTCAATGAAAAAATAAAAAAAAACAAGTTTTGTAAGGCACTCAGTTTGTATAAAAAACACAGGGTTCTCAGTTGCCATAGATACAAAAGATTCTGCTTTGTAATACATCATTCCATATTCCATTCAACTCCAAGCGCAAAAAAAATAACCACAACACTCCTTTTTTGTGTAACTCTGGCTTCAAAAAGACCTAAAAGTAAAACTTGATGGTCAAATTAGAACAGAAAAGGGCTTGGGTGTATTTCTATGGATGTTTAGAGTTTAAAGAAGAGAGTTAAGTAAGGTGTTGTATTTTCCTTATATGGTGCCTCAGGCATTACTGGAGCTACATGTAAGAGAAAACTCAACATAGCTTAAACCACATAGTCCCTTTATGTTTTCCTCAGGTAAGAAAAAGTTCAGAAATAGTCTGCTATGTTGGCAGTTCAAAGATGTCAGAGTTAAAGTCTCTGCAATTCAACCTTCCCTTAATAGTTGCAAAATGGCTCCTGCAGCTCTGAACATGTGGGAAGGGAAGGGCAAAGGTGAAGGGTAAAGGGAGAAAGGGCAAAGGATACTATTAGCTGAGTCGTATTAGCTTTTCAGAGGCTTTCCTGTTAAGTTCCTGTCAACAGAAAATTAATTATGCTGTTTGTATCTCATTCATTAGAACTACATTAAAGGCAAGCTCCATCTGCAAGGTAAGGGGCTGCAATTTTAAAACTCTAATGTTGCTCTGCATAAAAGCAGGGCTCTCTATTAGTAAGAAAGAGGGCATGGACACTGGACAAACATCTAGCAGACTCTTGTCAAATATGGTTGTAGTAAGTTATTGCTCTTTCTCTAGTAAAGTACTCTTGTGTTATATTCGGAGTAATTTGACAGGGATACTCAAGTAATTATATAATTGTAGAAAAATATACAACTGAAAAAATATTTTGTTGTATTTAATACATATTCAGATAAACAACGGAGATAAATAGGTAGGTAGGTAGATTAAGTGGCAGAAAGACAATTATTTCTATGCTTGGCGAAAGACTCAGTAGGAACGAATATCCTTAACAGGAAAAATCAATTCACATACTACTTGATTATATAGTCCTTTTGTGAGAGATGATTATCAGTTGATACAAGACAGAATATGGCTGGTGTCTGTCCTTTCCTTGTTGATTCGTAGGAGTTCTTTTATTCTGGATGTGATTTTTTTGTTCAATATCTGAATTGCAAAATATCTTCTCACCTTGAGGTTGCTTTTCCTACTCGTCTTTTGATGAACAGTTTTTTTTTAAATGAACTTAAATTTACAATATTTTGGTTTTTTTGTCCCTTTTTGTTTCCTATCTAGAAAATCTTTACATATGTCCAACTATCAAAACTGTTTCTACATTTTCTTCTAAAAGTTTTATTTTTTTAGCTATCACTTATATATCTACAATCCTGGAATTAATCTTGTGAATGCGATAAAACAAGGGGCAAGATTCTTTTATTTCCTAGGTGAGTATCCACCTGACACGGCAGCACTTACTGAAATGATCTTTCCTTGCACTTCTTCTTTTGACATAAATCAGCTTGATCACATGCATGAGCCTACTTTTGTGTGGGGTCTCTTTCTTGTATAACAGTGATCACCCTCATGCCCAAACCACACTGTATTAATCACTACAGGTCAGTATTAGTCTCCATCTCCGGTGGTATAAATTCTCTAGTTGCATTCTCCCAGATTGTCTTAGCTATTCCCAGACCTCTGCATTTCCATATCCATTTTAGAGCCAGCTTGTCAGTTTTCCTCACTCCCCCCACCAAAAAGCACTTCCAACATTTTAACTTTTAGAATTTTGTTGATTGTATCAATTAATTTGGGGAGAACTGGCATTTTTAATAACACTGAGTCTTTGAATCCATCCATATGATATATCCCTATATTTAGGTCTTCTTTGGTTCCTCTCAATAATGTTTTCTAGTTTTCAAGACAGAAACCGTGCACATCTTTTGCTAGATTTATCCTTAGGTAGTAAAGATTTCTGGTACTGTGACATCTTTCTCAGTTTATTTTCTATTTGTTGATCGCTGATATATAGAAATAAAATTGAATTGTGCATCTGACCTTATCTTTAGTGACCTTGCTAAATTCATTATCAATAATATTTTAACAAGTAAACATTTTAGAAACTCAGTTACACAAAGCTGATATCCCTCCTCTGTGTTCTCTTAGTGATCTATTTATTCCACTCATTACATCACCTTTTATAATCACATACTTTTATGCATTGATATATGACACAAGTCACAAGCACGTCTTAATTTCTGAATTTCCAGAATCTACAACAATGGCTGGCATAGAGCAAGTATTCATAAATTTCTCATAAATGAGTGAAAGAAAAAATTAAGTCTGCCGAATCCTTGGTTAGTTAAGTTAAAAAAACAGCTGAAGTATTAAAAAATAATAATGTTATTACTGTTTCCACAATTAACAACCCTTCAAATCAGCCAGATACAGAGAGAATGACATATTTTATGGTCCAAAGGTCTCAGGTTTTTTGTTTTGTTTTGTTTTTTGGCTTATTTTTCTTCTGCAAAAGAGATTAGTCACTGATGAATACTATTAGAAAGAAGTTTACTTACTACTCAATTAAGCATTTAAGGTTAAAAGCTAAGATTTCTTTTAATTATTTGTTTTGTTTTAATTTTGTTTTCCAAAGCCAAATACTTATACATATGCTTTGGATGTTGTCATTTTGGAATTAATTATCACAACAGCTTCTATTGAAACATTTAAATGTAATTCAAAAAATTTACCTCAGGCTACCTAACTTCATTTAAAGACAAAATTCCAATGTTAAAAGGATAGAGAGATTTCTCTATTATCATCAAAATGTAACTAAGAGAAATTGCTTCTATTTACAGCAAATCTTTTATTATCTTAAAAGTGGTCTAAAAAATACATTTTAAATGACCTGAGCC